ATATATATATAAATCAATAATATGTAACATTATAAAAAAGATATATTCTATTTATCTATTAATTAATAATAATAAATATGCAATATAAACTCACTTAATTTTTAGGAAAAGAATGTTAATTAGCAAGTTATATATATACTGAGTTTATTAATTAACAAATTAAATGTGTAAAGATGGTAGAAGGACCATCACTAGCACAAAGCCATTCGCGACCACTTTTAGACTTTGTTGAAACTCTATATATATATATATATGTTGGGATGCAAGCAAAATCTCACATCATTCAAACAAGAGGATGAACATGAGTTTATATACACACAGTTATTTTCATTAGCAGAGAGACCTTTTGAGTGATATCCAAAAGTAAAACCATGAGAATTTGAACCCAGAACGGACAATATTTTATCAATGTGGAGACATGTGTATGTGCATGGTAACCTCGGGTGCTCAACAATATATATATATATATATAAAGAGAGAGAAAATTATTTTTAATTCAAATTAGTAGGTAATTAATATATTTTATTGTACAATTTATAGTTGAGATATAACATTTTTTTCTTTACATTTAACACCATTGATCGTTTCATTTTTTTTAAAAGTACGGATATATTTTAGTTGAAAAATAAAAATATCACCTATCAATTGATTAGTTAATGGCGATTAACTTATTTTATTTTATTTTATTTATAATATTCTCTTATATAATTTAATTATCTAAATTTATTTTTGTAGACAAAAATTGCGCCTTTTGAAAATGGGGTCCTAGATGCTCACCTTAACTATGCTCAGGGTCACCTCTAACCACCACTTTTCTCCCTTTTTCCTTTCTCTTTTTTATTCTTTGAGTCTAACTTTTGATATGCAAGTTTCACACAAAAAGGTAAACAATTGCAAATTGATTCGTGACAACGAGCAAGAGTGTGGAGCATGACACGTAGTGAGTAACACGAAACGACACGACACAGAGGTGCACAAGTGTGAGACATGACACCAAAATGATGCAACGGAGGAGAAACCTAGCTGAGTACTGCAATGCTACAACAAAGGTGTGCAAGGTTAATCTGTCGTGCAACTTTTTGTTTTACTCTTTTCTACTTCTCTCTCTTCTTCTTGACGTGCATGATTTTAGATTTGGAATGTGGTGTGTAAACAAATCTACTTCAACAAAAACATGGTGATTTTGTTTGAATGGGAATGGAAGTATGAAAGCAAAAATGTTGGGTGTTGTCATTGATGTTGTCAAAAAGATGAGTGACGTTGTCGAAGAGTATTAACACCATAGTGATATAGAAGAACTCAATGGAAGAGGAAAAGGAGTTGATTAAATGGTTAATCGATGAACAACACAATTCAGCCCATGTTCATGTGTTGATCAATTGCATTGAAGTTAAATCGTACCTTGAGTAAACATTTGAGAATGAATATTTTTATTATTATACAATTTATCTTGTATTCTGATCTTAAACTCGCCCTTTAAGTGATATATTTGAGCAGTTTATTCATGCAAACTCAAGAAAATGCTTTTGCTCGTATACATGTTGATTTTCCTAGATGGTTCAAGGAAAAAGTATGTATATAACAATTTATTTTAATTCCCCATTATATATACATTAATTAAAATATAACTTTTCATGTACACAGGTTCACAACAAGCCTTTAAATGGGAGAAACCAACACTTAAGGGATTTGTCAAATAAGTCATTTAGATGTGTTAAAGAATGGCACACATATTTTGTTAATGGGTACAAGTTTCAAACTTATGCATGGTGCAAGGAGAAAAAAACCATTAATAGTGGAGTTTATGTAAAGGGCATTACAGAAGGAGGTGAAGATGATTTCTATGGGGTCATTCAACACATATGAACTTCAATACAATGCTTTAAGTTATCATAAGGAAGTGGTTGTATTTTATTGTGATTGGTTTGATCTGTCAAGAATAGGTACAAGAGTGGATCCAAAATATAATATAGTGGATATTCGGATTGATGCAAGATATAAAGAGGTTGATCCATTTATCATTGCATATAATGTAAGGCAAGTGTATTATGTCCCATATCCAACAACATGAATGAATAAACATGGTTGGTTTGTTGTAATCAAAACAAAGCCAAGGGGTCGTATAGAATTTGATGAAGTGGCTTACCAGGTAGATGAAATGACACATACTAATGAAGTCATTGAAGTTGAAGGTATTTTAGGATTACAGGATGTAGAAGGTGATCTTGAAGAAGTTGATGAGCTTGAAGAACCCCTACAACATGTTGAAGTACAAGAGGATGAGGAGGAAGAAGAAGAGGAGTCAAATGAAGGGGAATTAGAAGAAGACTTTGATGTATATAGCTCTGAAGAGGATTAGGCAATAAGGATAAATGTCTAAGGACAATGATTATATTGGTTTTATCCCTCTATTTAGTTCTCTATTTTTATGATGCATTTGAATCACTTAATCATAATATTATTTATACATGTTAATTTTGATTTATCCCTATATTTATACATGTTAATTTTGATTTGTTATTCACAATATTATCATTCCTATATAGATATGACAGGAGAAGGTCCCTCTCCTGGTAATAAGGGAAATGATAAAGGAAAGTCGAAGAAGTCACGTTATGTAATTAAAGTATTTTCAGGAACAAATACCCCCGGATCATCTACTTAAACCCCATCAAACTTACCATCTCCATCACCATCACCTTCCTCAATTGTTGTACCCACACCATCCCCAGTTATTGAGCCCACCCAATCACCGTCTCCACTTGTTGCACCCACACATGCACCATCGTCTATTGCTACAACCACACCATCCCCAGTTGCTACAATCACTCGATCACCAACTTCATTTGTTGCACCCACACAAGCACCTTCGCTAGTTGTTGAACCCACCAGATCACCATCTCCATTTATTGCAGTCACACCATCCCTAACTGCTACAAGGGTTCCATCATCTTCTAGATCTATAAATGGAGATGATTTAGACTTGGGAGCAGAAGACCCCCCACCCAATAATTGCCCAGTAATTGAACCTATTAGGACAAGGTAAGAATAAATTAGAATTTAATTTTCATCATTCACTATCTTTTAATTTTGCTAACCTTTTTTTTTGTATTTAGGTTTGAACCATTCGTTATTGCTACACATGCTATCACAGAGACCATTAAGCAACATTTTCTTGTTTGTGAACATTGATATGAATTGCTTGTTTGTGAATAATGATATGTTCATCTAAATTGTACCAATTTCTGAGTGATATATTGTTCATCTCATTTCTTCACTTGGAACTTTGATGCTTTACATGTTCATAAACACTTGAACTTACTTGTTATTGTAGTTTCAATACAAACATCTACTTTTAACATAAGTTGTAAATAGATTGTTCATTTTAGTTTATAAAAAAATTGAGTTGAAATGCTTGTGTTATTGCTTTCGATTTGGTTTAATTTATTTATTTGTATCCTCATGTTATATTTGTTTGTAGCTTCACCTGCATGATATGTTATAAAGGTTCAATTCTATTAATTGTTGAAAAAGTTTTGAATTTGATTTCCTGTGACATTTTGATGTGTTACAATTATTATAATTCATTGGTTTTTTCTTCATATAACGTAAGGAGGCATGGAGACATGAGGATGAGGAACAAATAAAGAAAATTTTTCACTCAAAAGCCTCCCATAGATTGTCTGATATGTTTAATGAAGCTCGAAAAGTAGTTAAAGGCCACTTTGGGTTGGACAAGATGTGTGGAACGAATTGGTAGCACATTAGAATTCAGCTGCTTTTCGATTAAAGTCTACACAAGCCTCACTAAATCGAGCATCTAATAAGGGTGAGACTCTTCATACAGGTGGCTCAATTACAGTTCATGATCATGCCAAGCGCATGGTATGTATAGATTAAAATTTTCTTTTCTATTTTTACTTTACAACAAATTAATTTATTTCCTATCAATGTATTATTTGCATGCAAAAGAATTTGTTCGCTCAGTGCATATTGATGAGGTCTTTCAACAGACCCATATACGAAAAGAAACGGGAGAGTTTGTTGATGAAAGATCTAGCAAAACATATGTAAGTTATTTAATTAATTATTGTAAACACCAATTTTATTCCACTAATTTTTTCTATTAATTTATTTGTCAAAAATTTCAAATTAACAATTTGCAAGCTAGACTTAAACTCAAAAAATACACAATAACTAGAAATAATAAATAAAAACAACGAAAATCAGAAAAGGACAAATAGAGAAGCCAAATCTTCCTCTATATCAACAAATGTGTTTTGTAGCTAGTGAACTTTTTTCCTTATCCTGTAAGGTTTCCATGTTAGTGTAAAAGTCTAGTTTTGGTGCCATGCGTAAAACAATTCTCGAAACTTCAAACTTGGCAAACTGGCATTTTTTTGGCAGCATGCTTCGGCTTGTATGCGTTTCTTCTATAAAGGAGAGAAAAAAACACAGAAAAGGGGGATGAAGGGGAGGAGGCAGTAGCCAAGAGAGGGAAGAACGAAAAACAGAGTGCAGTAGCCGAGATGGGGTAAGGCTCCACTGACTTTGGCGATTGATTTTTTTTCTCCACAAGTAGTTTCCTTCCGTTCATCTTCAAGTGATATGAAACGCAAGCAGAGCAGGGAGGAGACTGAGCCGTGAGCAACAACAAAAGCCGAGAGTAATAGTTGTAAAATTACAACTTCAGATTCACAACCACAAAGGTATGATTTAGATATTCATCGTCAAGTTTTTGAATATTTTGTTACTTCCCGTTTCACTATTGCGTGTTCAGGTATTCATTACTTTTTTTTTTGTTTCTTCTTCGAATATTTTATTACTTCCCATTTCACTATTGCGTGTTTAGCTTTTCTAGTCCAAAGCCTGGATCTAAAGCCTGCACACATCATTGAAAATAAATTGGCAAAATATGGTGACGAGACAACTGAAAGGATTAAATAAAGAAAAAAGATAGGTAATATTAAGTTTTAAAAAATCAGTATATTCTTACTTGGTATTTGATTTGATCATTTGTTTTTAAAAAATGTCTTTGTTTTTTATATTCATAATATGTTTAATAATTGATTAAATTTACTTTATTAAACAGATTAACTAGATGTGTATATTTAATCATTGATCAAATTTACTTTATAGATTAATTGCACATGACATCCTCTTAATCTTAAAATTTTAGAGCACAAGTTGTGATAACTTTGCAATGCTAAGTTCTCTTCTAAAAATGAAGTATTTCATAATTGTTAATTTAGACTAAGCCATTATACTAATAATAGTATTACATACAATGAAAACCTAATGATTTTATTCACTATAAGAAAGACAGGATTTTTCTAACATTTTGTTTTAAAGAGAATGGATTAATTAGACGAAATATTTATTTAATCCTAAAGGTTTGGAAGCAAACATTGACAGTTTGATAGTCCTAAAACTTCTCTTTAAAACTTTAAAACATATCAAACTATTTTTTTTAAAAAAATGGAATTAGCTAAGGAATACACTTTAGTTGGTTCCACCCTGTAAGACACGTGAACTATGACAGAACAAAGATCCTACAACTACAATAATAATAATAATAATAATAATAATAATAATAACAACAACAATAATAGTAATAATAATAAATATATAGTGATAATAATAGTTACTATAATAACAATAATAATAATAACTATGGGGTTCTTCATTTATATTCATAATATCTATCATTTTAAAATGGATTATTTGAATGTGATATTCTCTTGATTCTAAAGCTTAAAGGTGCAAGTTGTGACAATTTGTCATTTTAAAGTCTTTCTTATTTAAATTTTAAAATATAATTTATATAAAAAAATATTGCCACAACATTCAACATAAATAATCTAAGTTATTATATCAAAAATTTTATTGGAGGAATGGTTAATTAGATGTGACATCTTTTTAACCTTTGAATTTAAAGTACAAGTTGTGATAACTTATCTTTAAATTTTTTCTCCAAAAACAAAAATGTCCAACAAAAAAAAAACTTTTAAGATAATAATATCTATAACAATAATTACAATTATAATTTTTATTGAATTGACTTTGGTGTACACTTTAGTCAATTTTATATTTTTAAGGTGAATAAGCTGAGATGGTTCAAGAATCCTCAATTTAAAATTTAATTAAAAAATATCAACGTACAAATATTTTCTACAAAGAACTACGTGACTCTGATTCTTCGTTATACATGGAGATACATAGAAGCAAGAAATAAGTCTTGTCGAGCTAAAAAAATAAAAATAGTATTATCCTCCTTTTTATATAACAATAATAATTTAAACCTTTTTCAAATGCATTAGTTAAATTAGATAAATAAAATATATTTGATAATTATAGTTAATAAATTTAGGGTCAAATAAATATTTTATAAGTCATAAATAATTTGTTTAATTAATTAAAGGTAATCGTCTTAGGACGAACGTTCACTAGTAGAAAAAAGGATTTTACAATTGGTTATTTTTCACTTTTAAAATCGGTTCTGTAACCGATTTTGAAAGAGCCGATTTTAAAAATTAGACTTTTAAAATCGGTTAAACAATCGATTTTAAAAGTTAACTTTTAACATCGGTTGCTTTATAACCGATCTTAAAAGTCTGGGCTGTGAAAAAAATTAAACTGGAACGGGCCGTTCCAAAACTGGAACGGGCCATTCCAGTCTGTTAAAAAGGCCAAAATTTAAATTCCAGTACGGGGGCAGAACGAGCCGTTCTCCCTCGAGAACGAGCCGTTCTCCCTCGAGAACGAGCCGTCCTCCTTGTAGAACGGCCCGTTCTCAAGGGAGAACGGTCCATTCTCGAGGGAGAATGGCTCGTTCTGCAAGAACGGGCCGTTCCAGGTTCGAAATTTGCCCAAACTGAACCTACAATGAAAATAAAGATGAGAAGAGTATGAGAAAACGAAAAGAGACACAATAAGAACATGAGAAGACGAAAATGAAAATGAAATTTACCTTGGAGACTATAGAAAATGAGAGCTTCAGAGATTAAAAAAAGGAATGGAGGGAAAAATTAAAGAGAATGGGAATGGATAGGAATATAAAAGATTTCTGACGATACTTTTAAAATCGGTTATTTAAGAACCGATTTTGTATGCTACATACAAAATCGGTTCTATAATAACTGATTTTAAAAGTAGCACTTTTAAAATCGGTTATAAAATAACCGATCTTAAAAGTATTTTTAAGATCGGTTATTTTATGACCGATCTTAAAAGTGTCATTAAAAGTGCCACTTTTAAGATCGGTTCTTTTGTAACCGATCTTAAAAGTGGTGTCAAGCATACTTTTAAGATCGGTTATAAAATAACCGATCTTAAAAGTACTTTTAAGATCGGTTAAATTTTAACCGATCTTAAAAGTGTTCATGTTATTTACAAAATTGTCATCGCGTCACTTTTAAGATCGATTACAAAACTTTTAAGATCGGTTACTTTGTAATCGATCTTAAAACTCCGATTTTAAATCCAATTTTTGCACTAGTGGTTGTGAGGTACTAATACCTTCCTCACACGTTATCGACTCCCGAACTCAAAAATCTGATTTTTGTAGACCAGTTTCTATTATATGGTTTTTCCAATGTTTTTCCGTAAAAAACAACATTGGTGGAGACTCCTTATTTTTAATTCATTTTTTTCACCGTCTCGTTGCGATCTCGGTTGCAAAAATTATTCATGTTATTTTTAATCATATTTACAAGATTAGTAAAACAATGCCTTTGTTTGAATAATAGGAAGATTTTCTCAATAAATTTTCTTGTTATGTCTGAGGCTGCATGATCTGTTGATGAATCACATCCTATGAACCCTAGTTTGGAGGATACAATTAGGTCTAAGTGTTGGTATGATGCAGTTGGTGGCATGACCAATAAGGGGCGACTGTATGGAGCTGGAGACCTTGCTCATGATTCAAAATATACACACGGCTGTCGCCTCAAGCTTAAAAGGAAAGCATCTTGTAGTAGTTCATATGACACAGAAGAAATTGTTCAATTGAAACAACAATTTGCAGAAAATGATGTGGTTATTCGTCAGTTGCAAAAGTTTTAATCAATTATCTTGCAATTCTTACCCGCAGAAACACAAACCGCCATTCAAAATATTAGTCAACAACAAAATACCAACCTAGATCAACAAAATGGGAAAAAACATCAAAACCAACAAGAAAAAGATGATCAAGGAAAACATCAAGAAGACTCTCCTAATTATAAAGACTATTAGTTAACATTAGAAAAATATTAATATATTTGAATTAACTATATATGATGTTTGAATTATGAATTGTTTAACATATGTTAGCGTTGGATTATTATTATGATATAAACATTACTATTATCTTTTAAATTTATTTTAATGAAGCTTCTATCAATCTTATATATTGTTAAACAGGTGAAAATAATGTCAATTGGTTATATTAATAAATTTATTAAAAAATAAAATTCAAATATTTCTGACAGAAATTTTCGTCAGAAATTAATTTTGTAATTTCTTTCAGAAATTTTTATCGAAAATTATTGACGAATATTTTTTACGGAACTATTTCCGTCAAAATTTTTTGACGGAATAATTTTCTATGGATTTTTTTTCTGATGTCGCTTTTTTTGATGGATGGAAATCTGTCAAAAATTAAGAGTTTTTGACGGATTATACTTGTTTTCGACGGATTTTGTCCGTCAAAAATTAACATTTTTCTTGTAATGTTTTAAGTCATCATAGTTTAAATGTCCCAGCCTGTGATGCCATAGTTGAGAATTATCCTCCACATCTGCCTGAAAACATGTTGTTTCTGCTCTCATAATTGCTGTCAGGACAAACATCCTATTTGCACTCATACGTACTTCCATAATTAGTCCTATCTTTGAAGGAACAACATTACATTTATTGTTCTGAATTTTGATACTCAAATCCTTTTCTTGAAGCTGCCCTATAGTCAATAGATTATTCTTGAGTTCAGGAACATAATATACATGTGTGATTACATGTATAATTCCATTCACCAACATTCGAACACTACCTTTCCCCATTACAACTATACAAGTATCATTACCCAGTTTTACCTTGTGTCGAAAATTCTCATCTAATTCTGAGAACCACTCCTTGTTACTACTCATGTGGTTACTGCACCTCGAGTCTAGAAACCACTCACCCTTCTTTCCTTCTTTGCATTCTACTAAGGCCATCAACAAGAGATCATCCTCTTGTTCCTCCTTATCCTCTGTTTCAACATAGTGTGCCTTCTTCTCCCACAAGGGACATTCATACTGAAAATGTCCAAGCTTGTGGCATTTGAAGCATTCAACTTCAGCCTTGCTGAATAATTGTCTTCCCCTTCCTCTTCCTCAAAAAGACCCTCTACTTCTTCCTCTTCCTCTGCCTCTTCCACCTTTCTCATCAACCACGGTTTGCATAACTTGCTCCTGTGCTATTGAGAATGTCATTCTCTGCTTATGAACTAATAGACTACTTTGTAGTTCGTCTATTGTCATGGTATCCAAATTATTGGATTCTTCAATGGAACACACAACATAATTAAACTGAGGTGTCATAGACCCAAGATTTTTGCAGTTATATGACACTCTCTTGCATACTCTTTCCAACAACTTTCATACTTTTGGCTATCTTCAATGTCCGAGCAAAGTATGAATTTACTGACTCTCCCTCCTTCATCTGCAGTATTTCAAATTCCTTGTGTAAAGCATGTGGCTATGCTCATTTTACCCCGTGTTGAGCCCTGGAACTTCTGTTTCATGGAGTCCCATATGTGTTTAGACGTTTCATCCTTTAGAATGGTGTCCAGAATGTCTCTATCGATTGCTTGATAGAGAATTTTTTATCCTTAAATCCTTGAGCTGCTATTCTTCCATCAATTTGATCTCTGCCTCTGAAGCATTTGCTTTGTCTGGAACCACCTTAACTCC